TATGCCAAGTGAACCGCTTATCAAACGTGATCCTAAGTATTTAATGCTATCCACCCAATTAATCACGATGATAAGAAATTTTTAGATGGCTCTAAAGCAATACTTTGAGTAGCATTTTAGTGAACATTTTGCCATTGTTGCGTTGATTGATGTACATCGTCGTCCATCTCAAATGCATTATATTGTTTATTTTATTTTAAGGGACAGACTTAGGTAATGTAGATTGAGGTTCTAAGGATTTAAGGTTTTAGTTTTAAACAAAATGAATAGACTAAGTTGGTATAGAGTTGCAGAATAGCTTGCGTTTACTTAGTTTCTCGGTAGCCGTATTCCATTATAAAGCGGGTAGTCTTTTGATTCTCTAAGATGGTTTTTTATAGTCGAACCTTTAGCTCTGCGTCGATTTGATTCATGTGAGCAACACAGGCGCACCAGGGTTTACCAGAAGTACAAAATAAAATTATAAAATTGGGTTTTCAGATAACGGTTCACTTAAGGCAGTCGCAGAGCTTATATATTCAAAATAATATTCAAACTTTTATGATAAAAAATTCATTTGTATGGATATCAGCATATTTTATTTTACTTAAGAAATCAAATCTCTGATGATAACAATCTTATAATAATATAATCTTATAAGCGTAAGGAACAAATGTTAACTAAAAAATAAAGTAAAAATTTTTTAGTAAAAATTTTGATATTGGTCATAAATTTATTAGATGTCGCTCTTTTTCCTTAGTGATGCGGTGGGTTTTTATGGATATGCAAAATTATGTCAATATCAAAATATGAAAAAAAATATCTTTAATAAATACTATATATAAATATATTTACATACGACAAATATATTATATACCTCCTAGTACATTAATATTTTTCTTTTAAATTTGATGGAAACTTTTGAACTCACAAAAGTTCAAAAAATTGATTCAGTATCACTCCACTCAGATTCCGAATCGCATTTGCAATCTTTTGAAATCTTCGATTCAATGACTTTTGCCTTCTCTGGTTCTTTAAGCTTTACAATCTTAATTATGACTTTACGTCCGACTGATTGGGATGGATCATAAAAGTCTGCATTATTTGGAACCTTCATTTCACATGATTTTCGTGAAGTACTTTTGAGTTTCATACGACATTTTTGAGTTGGTCGACGAAAGTACTCCAAAAGATTATTTTGGAGATTTTCAATTTGTTGTCTATTTATTCTATCGATCTCCAATTGTCTTTCAAGTTCATTAAGATCAGGTTCAATGATTTGATTATAAGTTGAAAAATCAATATCGACAATGTTCTGTCGGCGTACGCCAGTGCCATTATGGTGTTCATCACGCAATACTTCACTTCTGGCAATTGAGTTTGACGAGAAGTTATCCTCTATTAATTCAAGACCGTCATCGAGGGAATGCTCAGGCATTTTGTGTCTGAAATGATTTTAAAATGATAAAAGATTATGTGAATGATGTAAGAGGATTATGTGAATAGTTAATTTATTTATCTTAAAGGTAGCAGAAATGTTATTTTAAACAGGAATTTCTTAACAGAAGATTATTTTACGGTAACTATCACTTCCTAAAAATTTTTGATTATTTATATTTATTTAATAAAATTATAATATCAAACAGAAAAGGCATTGCTGACAGAATAATTTTTTTTTATTCTGAACTACTTTGTAGCATTTTAGAAATATTAGAATACCAAAAAGTCTTTTGTAATTATTATTACAATCAAATCACCAAATTACACTTTAAATAATACTACAATCTATAATCGAATACTATAATCGAAGTATTACTTTTTAAAGGGGCTGTATTACGAGACCCTTTATTACGAGACTTGTATATAGACCAGACCTGTTGAAAGTATGGGAAGTAAAGTAAAATTTACTGCTTTTGAATTGTCCAAACCTGGATTGGATTTTTTTAAAATATTTTATTTTTTACTAAATGAAAAGCAATAACAAATTCACGATCGACCTTTAATCTTTATATTCTAATACGATAAACACAAGAAGATAAGAAGTGATATGTGCTTTCGCTTTGGATTTGCCCAAAGTTTTTTTGGACTTCAATAAAAACTGTTCTACTTTTTATGGAAGTAGAAAGTAATGTTAAATTTACGATCCTTTGGTTACTAAATTGGTCTTTAACTTTTAAGTACACAAATGTTGAATCTAAATGGTTCTTGAAACATCATAAAAAGGTAATGATGGCTGCTTTTGTGTTACTCCTGTCCAAGATTTTTTTGGACTTAAAAAAGAACTAATTTATTATTGTCTAATGCATGGAATAACGTAAAATGCATAATCCTATAGTTCCAACTTTGACCTTTAATCCATATAAACTTGTATGTTGGTATAAAAAGATACTAATGATAATCCGCTAATAAAGAAGATATATTTAATCATAAGATTTTTATTATTAAATGTTGTCTTATATCAATTATTGATATGAAAATTGTATTATTAAGAACAGGTAGCTGATATATAACCAAAGAATTAGACAGACACTTCTATATGGAAGTGTAGCAATCAACAAGATCTCAAACAATACTATTCGCCAGCTGGAAATTGCACAAAGCTAGGTTCTGAGAAAACTTTTCCCATGGTACATTAGGACAAATGACATCCTCAGGGACCTCAAGATCCATCCGATTAAAAAATACATAAAGAATAAAGCTCTAAAACTATTTACGCAAACGAACAGGCTTACCAACAATGCGTTATCAAAACTTAGAATGGTTACAGGCTCCTCGGGGAGGTATGCAGATTGAGGTCAGTTATTGCTTAATCAGATGAAGTGATAAGCAATAATCCATGTAAGTCGTATAGAGTGGTTATGAAGAAACCTCGCAGGTAGTAGAGAGTAAAAATGTTTAAGTGCACTGATTCAACTAGTCTCAACGTACAGATATGAGGACCTCAAAAATATATATTTTAATTAATTTAAAAATTATTTAAAAATAAAATAAAAGGGTTAACGCTAATAACTTTTATAAGCTAATCAAAATACTACATGTATGTATAAGTACCTCATTAGATACTGATAAAGCGTTGACAATAGTTCCCTTTATTATCTACTATAATATACATATATTTATACTAATTAATACTCTTAGAAAATGTAAAAAGTATCGATGAAAAAAAAAATATGAAAATATTTACAAAGTTATATATATAAGTATACTTACTTTTACTGGACTTTTAATGAAAATTGTATCAACACTTTTTCAACTTAAATTCGAAATAGGTTAAATACTTGTAAATCCACGGAATAAAATTGTGATTTATTTTTTGATAGTTTAATTTTTTTTTTTCTTGAAGTAAAATAAGTGGAATGACAATTTAATTTAGTTTTCAAAACGTATTCGATCAATAAAAATAAGACTGTATAAAGTAGTCTTATATGGCGTTTACATTGGCCGAAAATGGCTCATTTTGAATGAGCCATTTGAAAGTGTTTACATTCGTTCTATTTCATTTGTTCTCATTTCAACAGCTATTTTTCAACTTGCATGTTGATTTGATTTTTGGCCTGTGCCAAAAAAATGTTGCATGAAGGTTAAATATGCCTTCAAACCTTACATTAGAAACTTAAAATATATTTTTAACTTCGATTAATTACTTTTTGGGAAGTAAAAGTTCTAAACAGCAGTGCATCGTTTTCAAGAAAATGCAACCACCAAACATTTGTTTACCTTTTTTTGTGAATATGTTAAAAACAGCTTTTTCAAACTGTCAAAATGCCATGAAGAGCTTTCATTTGGGGTATGTTCAATGGATTCCTTTGCATTTGGAACGTATGTGGAATGCATTCGAACGTCATTCATACAGAATGTGAGAAAATTGCTCATTTTTGTGCTTGAAATTTTATATGCAAGAATGAGCCATTCGATACTCATTTTCGATTTTTGACTAAAATGAGCCATTTTCGGCCAATGTAAACGCCGTATAAAACTCTTAATATATTGCATATATTAACATCTGTGTTTAATATATTGATTTGGCATAATTATTTAAGGTCTTTGGTGTAAAATAAAATAAAAGCGTTCTTGATAATATATATTATTCTTTTTTTAATATGATAATAGTTTTGATTACGACATAAATGTGTTCAAGTGAAACTAATAAAATGAACTAATTTTTATAACATTATGCAAACATATGTTTATTAAGTAAATTAAATCTTGATGTTTAAAAAATATGTTTGGTTATATGGCGTTTACACTGGCCTCAAATGATTGATTTGGGTAAAAATCACAAACGAAAAGCAAACGACTGATTTCTGTATACAAAATCTCATATGCGCAAATAAAATCCATACATATGACATTTGTGAAGTTTCAATGCTCACTGTTTCAATGTTTATAATGCTTTAATATTTTGTCAATTTCATTATGATCATACATTTATTATTATTATCGTATATGATTCAACTTCTTGTATGCTGAAACTAAAACTGTTGTCATATGAACGCTATTTATATATGTTAAGGCCGCATGTGTTATTTTTTTTAATGATTGATATTAATTATTATTTAAATTAAAATAAAAAACGCAATTTAACTGTTGTTCTAGTAGAATCATTTGGATGTATGTTGATTTTACATTGAATGTATTCAATAATAATTATAATAAAAATAATTGTATAATAAAAATAATTTGTATAATAAAAATAATTAAACAATATATTAACATACTATTAAATATATTTAATAAATTTACATATACAGTTTGAATATGATAAAACAATTTACTTTAATTATCAAATCAGGCATAATTGATTATGTTATTCTTCATGTTTTAAATAAATTTATTCAGGTATAGTAATAAGTTGTTTACATTACATGCAAGGCTGGTAAACTTTTAAGCCAGTTGCTAATTTGTTAATGTAGATAACATTCTAAATTTCCAAAGAAAAAAAATAGAATAAATAGAAAAGTCTTTTTTATTACGCATTTGAGCAACCCTGCAAAGTGATAAATTTAATATCAGATGGTTTTATTTACATCCGCGTGAGTGCCAAAATTAATATCGTATTGTTTATAGTGGTGAATTCTTATAATTTATATTAAAAAAGTAAGTTTTTATTTTTAATTTATCATTAGTTTAAGTAAACTTAAGTGATTGTATGAATTGAATTTTAAACAGGTTTAATAATCTTGTATAAAAAAAGCTTTTTTTTAACTGTTTGGAAGTAAGTGAACTGTTTCGATATTCAATGAATTAATATGAATTTATTAAATAAATAATATCGTAATGTGTGATAATTGAATTTTAAAAGAGTTAGAATAAATGAAAATTATTGTCATCAAAGTATCTATATTTAAAACTAATAAAATAAATAATACTATCACTATAAAAGTGCAGCGGCTTCTTTCAATAAAAATATACGCAAAATGTAAACAAATGGTATTTAGTTTGTTATGCAAAGTCCTACGTATATGAGTGTATATATTAGGACTATAATTAGTTATACATTATTTTATATAGTAAAGGTAACTACATTTGCTTCTGATCTTTTTTACGTGGTGGATATTAACTGAATTATTGTTGTTTTACTGAGTCCAATTCGTGATGCATTTATGCAAGAAAAACTATTTTAATTACGGTCGTTAGTTCTATATCTCAGATGATTTAATACAAATTCGTTGAAAACTTAAACCATTAGATATACTAATTAATATGTATATTTTAAATGTATATTCATTATATTACTAGAGATAGACCAGAGATTGTCAGCAATCCACTTAACTTACATACTTGTTGATAAATTCCAATTAGAAATGTATCGATTCGTCATCGAAGGCATCTGCAAGATATGGTATATATAAGACTAATGACCAATCGATCCAAATGTATATCTCTCATTGAAGTTATAACTTAAATAGTTTATTTTATGACGCTAAATAATATCTAAAATAAACTAGATAAACTAATACTAATGCAGAAACCACGGTTGTAACACAAGTTTCTTAACAGACTTTCGTTTTTAGTTTCTTCAGAATGAAAAACATCTTCCACATGCAGCACTCATTGCCTTATTCCAATTGTGGTCCTCTTATAGACACGTATTAAACAGTTACTTGTCACTTACACATTCTAAATGTCTATTCTAAATTTGTACCTTAACTGTAGTTCTACTTCTCATGGCGTTATCTCCAAATGTTCTTCAAATCTTGATCTACAAATGGGCACACATATTTAAGCCCCATTAATTTATAGTTTCATTTTATCATGGTGACTAGATTATTTTACTTAGTTGAGTCTAATAATTGCGACTATCGCCTTTTCCTATTCGCTTCCCAATTCCCAACTTTACGTGTACATTTGGTAAGTACTTTCATGTACTTGGTTTTACAAGTGGGTAACAACGCCATAGTTCGGTCAGAAAGACAGTTTTGTAATATTGTACATATTGAAAAAAATATTTCAATATGATTTCTATTATATTTCTAATTATTACAAACAATTCTATTTATGTTTGTAAGGTTATGACAAAATTAAATGCCAACTTTTTTTCTGATACTATATATATCCGTTGATTAATTTTGATATGTACTTTTATCAGATGAATTACCAAAGGAAAGGAGTAGTGAAGGGCGAGAAGATGAAGCTCTTCTAAATGAATCGTAGTACCATATTTATACATGTATGTATTTAGTATAAATGCATTGACTATTTGAAAACATTATTTTAAAATTACTCAAATTTTTTGAAAGCTGCTCTTAAATACATTTTAGGCGACAGGACTGACTATTACATTTTTAATTTTTATTGTATAGTAGAGTTCTTTGTTTAATAAAAAGCAAATGTGCTAGATTTTATCTAGTTTTTCTATAATAACTTTTCTTTATCTGAAATGAATTAATTTATTGTACTTACATATTGTTCTGTCCATTAACTCATATCTGCATTTTCAATTAAAGTATAGACAATAAATTATAATTAAAAATATATATTTATTATATTTCAAGTCATATATTAATAATAAATAAATAAATAAATTCATTAAAATCATTGAATAACATAAATTCTTATAGACATAAATTTATGATAGAATGAGTTCATTTTAATACCTTTTTAATTACAATTAATTGAACTTATTTTACATGTGTGAAATAATATAATAAATTAATAAAATAAATTAATGAAAATTCAGTGAAGTAGGAACACGTAAAAAATACGAAAACAAATAACTGAATGTGTGCAATATGAAATCTATTCGCCTATTTATCAGTTTAACTTTTTGTATATTTTTACACTTAAGGCTATAAATTAAATATAGTAAATATTTTGAAAAATTCTTCTCAAAAAATATTAATAAATACAATAATGGAGGTAATACGATTTTGCTTAGTATGAGCATGAGTTTTGAGCAGAGAAGCGCACTGCGCCTATAACTGCATTCAGCCTTTGAGCTTCTTAATTACTTGCTTCGTCCGTATCAACGTCTGCAATACCTTTTAATTTATTTTGGTTATTATCGGCAGTTGCCTTGAGGAAACTCTGCAGCATGGCATTGGAATCAACTACAAGTATGGGCGTACAACCATCCTTAAGGTGCTCACTTTGGCTTTCATACATTTCGCGTGAAATACTGCGGGTAAATGAGAAACGTAAAGATTTGGTACGTGTAAGCTTCTTTTTGATTGGTGGTTTGCCAGTGATGGGTTGAGGTTCTGAAACACCCTTCTCTTTCTCTGGTGTAGGAGGCAGTGAAGTAATTTCCAAATTAACATCACGCAAAATATCTTCAGCAAACGCTTTAATTTCAGTCCACGCGTCAACTATTAAGTGAAAATTTAGCAATTAGTTTTGTTGAAGTAAATTTTTATGTGTTAAATATACACACCGATATCTTTTTCATTTGCATGTTCATAAGTTACACAAAAACGTATAACGTATTTGCCATTAACCATTGAGGGTATCATATGCATCTTGCCAGAATGATTTATTAATGCCAACAATTCTTGATTATAATTATCAGCAGCTCTAAAAATTAATTCAAATTGTTAATAACGAATTAAAAATTCTTATTTTTCTAATGATCTTACCTCATACGGAAGCAAACTAAGCCTAAGTATACATCATTACGCACTTCGAAACGATCATCTTTGCGGACAAGCATTTCAAACTTTTTAGCTAACGCCATATGATTACGTATGTAGGATTGTAAACCGATAATGCCATATGAACGAAAAACGAACCATAATTTCAATGCTCTAAAGCGCCGACTCAATGGTATACCGTAATGCCTGTAGTCAATAGCCTTATCATGTTCATGTTGTAAATACAAAGGATTCACATTAAGTGCTGTCTTTAGACTCATAACATCTCTAACCCACATAGCAGATGCATCGAAATTTGTTAGCAACAATTTATTTGGATTTGTATTAAACGAGTCTGCATATTCCAAACCTTCAGAAAATTTACGCATTTCGGGTAAAATAAAAGAATTTCCTGCGTATGCGCCATCAACATGGAACCAAACATTTGGCACTTCTTTGCAAACCTTACCAATTTCAGTGAGGTTGTCAAAAGCACAAGCACCAGTAGTACCTACTGTTGCTACCACAAAGAATGGTGTAAGTCCAGCGTTGGCATCGTTCTGTATAGCTTGTCGTAATAAGTCAACACGTAATCGACCATGTGCATCAGCCTCTATAATACGTAATTTTACCAGAGCCATTTTTGCTGCCTTCTCAACGGAAGAGTGAGCCTCTTTACTTGCGTAAGCAATCAACTGTGGCAGAAACACACTGTCATGTATTTCAGAGGTAATTCCTTTTAATTTTTGTATTGCTCTTGAGCGTGCTGTTATCATGCATACTAGTGTGCATTCCGATGCAGAACCTTGTAGAGCACCACCACCGCGACTACCGGGCATATCGGTTATAAACGCTTTTGGCAAACCAAGCGCTTTTGCATACCAATCGAGCACAATAGTTTCTAGTTCTGTAGCTGCTGGACAAGAGGCCTAAAAATGAAAAGTGAAAAAATGGGTTAGGCTTAAATTGTTTACTCTTTTGATGGCTTAATTTATAGTGTAGCTCATGTTATTTACAAAATGGTTTCCTTAGAAAATAACTTAATGATTCTTATGATCAAAATGCAAAGATTATTTAGATTTATTTGAGGAGTAGAAACATCGTATAATGATGTTCTATACGTAGAAGCAATAAGTAGAATTTGTGTTGATCTGTTTTTATTTTTTACATTTGGGTTTAAAGAAATATTACAAGATATGGACCATTAAAGTAGTTCTGATAGCTGTCTGATTTTTTATAAGAATATAGACTTTCTAAGAATATGCTCTTACGATGGAGAAAACTTCTATTCGAAATATTTAAGTGAAGTTAGAAAGATATCGCTATGTCCTTGAAATAGAGTTCAATTTTTTTGCCAGTTTTGACTTGCCAATCTAAATGGCTATCTTTTGCATTGTAACCAATTCTGCTTCATAACCTACTCTTGTGGAAGTTCTGATGGCAAATCTATAACAAAATTTAAGCGAAGACTTTAAATTTTTTAAGTCTCTAAGCCTTTGTGCACTAAGGATAGTCATTGGTTCAATGTAAAGATCGATGGATAGTAAGTGAAGCAAGCAGGGCATTATCTTAGTTCATGAGTAGCTTCATGACTGCTAAACTTTATAGACTGGCTACCCTTTGATTAATATACTGTTTAATATGCTTTGGCTACATCATATTGGTAAAAAAATATTTTAAAGCTTAGAGAAACCATTTAGAATTTTTGAATTATTTAGATTAGAGAAACTAAATTTCCTGTTATTATATTTTTATGTAAAAGATCAAACATTTATATACTATCTAAGTCCAAAAAATCAATTTCTTGATTGTTTGAGTATCACAATTATTAACTACAATTTTAATAGAATATCAACAATTTTATTTAAACAGATAGTTAGATAAAACAATAAATTCATAACTTCAGCTATTAATATAAAAATTATTTATACTATGTATATGATTTTCGTACTATACGCATTAAAATGAAATGATTGTTGAATCATTTCATTATAAAATTCTTTTTTAAATTTGTTATTATATTTTTAAATTACTATAAAACAATGAATTTGTAAAAATTCCTGAATTTAAGAAGAAGAACACCAACAATTAGTACTGTATTTTGTATTAAATTTGTAATAATATTTTTAATTGAAATTTTAATTAAAATAAACGTTTTTTATAATTGAAATAGAAAAATCAATCAAATAAAAAATCCCTTGAAATAATCATTTTAATAATATAACCGTGGGTTTACACTGCGTATGAGTAATTATTTTCTATATTAATAGCGCAATTTTTAAATTTATTGTTTTATTTAAATGATCTGCGTGTAATGTAATTTATTTTTAGTTGAAATATTCTATTAAAATTGTATTCATTGTTGATTGTTTTACAAAAATGGGTTTTTATATTAAAACTAATCATTTATATGCAACTTACCCAAGAAAATCCAATAGATCCTATAGCGCTACTTAACATATCGCCCAAAATGGATGGGAATGAATTACCCGATGGAAAATATGCAAAAAACTTTGGGTGATTCCAATGTACAACTCCTGGCATAACTTTCTTTTCAAAATCTTCCAAAACATCTTCAAATTTTTCAGCTTTTAATGGGGCTTGATCTGCAAAAGAAAAATTCAAAAATCAAAAATCAAAAATTTAATAAATAAATAAAAACAATATGAAAACACTCAAAATAAACATAAACAAATATATTCGACATTGAAACAATTAACAATTAATTAGCTAAATATTTTTACTTTTAAATATTAAGTTTTTAGGCAGATCTTTAACATTTCAATTAACACTTTCGCACGTAAACTGGAAGATGTGTATAATTTAAAAATAAATAAATTTTTTTTTGTTGTTTTTGGCTAAACAAAATCTTCATACAAAATATAAAACTAAATTATTTTGTTCAATTTAGAAAAGAGAGAACGAGTTCATATATTTCGATTGCTTGAGAAAAAACAAAACTTATTTAAATTAAGTTAATTAATTAGCTGTTTAATTAATTCATACAGCATTAATCAATTAGTCAAATTTGTGTTATGTTTTTTTTTTTTTTTGAACTAAAACTTATTAGTTTTATTGCCCTTGGAATATTGAATACGAACGCGTAAATGATTTTGTATATTTTTTTAATTTTGAAATTATTTGTTTTAGCAAATTTTATGGAAATATCTTCATATAGTTTTGCAAGTGATCGTAGGCTATCGAAGGTAGGTGTTGGTGATGGACGTTTGTTGTTTGATGTTTTGTTATTTTTTTTGTTTTTTTTTTTAACTTAATTTTTATGTTAATTGGGATTTTTTAAAATGCTCATATATTAACGAAAATTAGCCAGTATTTGATTTTCTTTTTAAAATTTATATTTACACAATTTACTTCTTTAAAGATATGTGTATGAATAAATTTAACATACACTAAAAATATGTTCAATATATTGTTCTAAAATTAATCTTGTAAACATTTTCATATATATTATATGTAATTATTTATAGAATTAAAGACACATAGAAAGTAAAAATATATAAATTACTAAACAATTACGCAGTGTAAACAATTAAATGTTGAAGTAATTTAGTTTCATAATAACTTGGAAGAATACTTGGAAAAAAGTAAATTTTATATAATAAAAAAGTAACGCAAATGTACTTTACAATAATTTTATAAAATGTTTTTATAATTATTTATATTAATTAATTATTATTAATTATTATGTAAACAATTTTCATACTGCTGAAAATATTTTTAATTAAATAAATAAATACATAAAATAAAATCGTAAGAATAGTATATATCTACTTTGGTTATTAATATATATACAGCAAAGTAAATAAGTTTCTTAAAAAATTGTTTCTTTATTTGCGTTTAATTAAAATTATTTTTTAATGTTAAATAATTAAATACTAATAATCAAATGGCATTGAAAACTTTTACTTTCATTTATTATTTTTGTATAATTTTTCATATTTTATTGACTTAAGTAAATGTATTAAATTAAGAATAAATTTCTTTATTATTCAATAAAATATTATAATAAAATATAATAAATAAATTAAAAAGTATGTTTCCAAAAAAAAATGATTTAATTATTATTTTAAATATAAATCATTAAGGTTGAAAATAAATTGAAAAGTTTGTTGTTGCTAATATTTTTTATTAGTGTAGAATACATTTATTTATATAATTATAATATTTTATTATAAAATATTAAAAAAATATTTTATTATTTCTAGCAGTGTTGTTTCTTGTTACACAGTTAATATATAGCACTAGTAAATACTTTTCTCTAATTTCATAAAATTTTAACGCAAATATTTGTTGAATTTTTTTAAAGTTCACTATTTATAATTATTTATTTATACTGATTTTTAAAATAATTTATATTAAGAAACAAGTCAAAAAACTTCGAAATTTAATAAAAGATATGGATGAATTATAACATTGTTTTAATATTTATAAACTCTTAAATTGTTCAGATATGCATTAATCAGTATAAATAAATATTTTTAATAATAATATTAAATTATAGTTAGGTTAAATTAGTTGTACTGGTACTCTTGTGGTCGCTTACGTCACAAATAATAACCCGTTGTGATACAAGAGTACAATATTATTAAAATTTTATATATTATTTATATATAAATAAGTTTAATAGATCTCTTTATGTTAATGGACTCTGACTACTACAAAAAAATGAGCTTAAAATTTATTGTTAAAAAAGTTTGCTATAAATAAATAAGAATGTATTAAGTTCTTTACTAACAAAGTTAATTTGGTAAAATCATATGTAATGAATTAAGAATGTAATAAAAATATCATTTTAGTTAGCGATGGTCTAAAATTTTTATAAAAATATTTGAATGTTTTTTTGCATTTCAAATAATAAATATAAGTTTTGCTTGTATGGATGTCTGCAATTATAAAACTTTATTAGATTTATATAGTTTACTTAGCTGTTTTGTAATGCTATTTTATAATTCGAGCTTAATAATAGTCATTGTTTTTTGAAACGACCAATTAAATCAATAAAAAACATTATTATGAATTAAAATATAAATACATTGTACATGCAGTTATTTGTATTTATATTGTAATTATATACATAAAAAAATTTGTTTCTTTAATAATTATGACTTATATTATTTTAATATTGTTTTTATTATTTTTTATAATAGTCATTAATAAAATTAATGAAATTTAAAAAAATATAAAAATCAGTAATTGTTTAAGTATTGGTCTATTGCTTTAGTTTTATTTCATATGTATTTATAAAAGTCTGTACAAAAATTAATAAAAAAGTGTATAAAAATAAATAAAAAATATTGTAGATATTTATAATAAAAATAAATTAAAAAATAATAAATGTGACTAAAATAATAAAAATGATGAAAATAAAAAAAATATAAAAATAAATAAAATATAAAAATAAAAAAAATATAAAAATAAAAAATAAAATAAAAATAAATATATAATAAAGAAATAAATAAATACTTAAACTGTTCTTTATCGTTGTGATAAATATTGTAAAATCAAAATCAAGTAAAAACACTACACCTTCAATATAATACCTTCTTATTAATAATATCTTATAAGTATTCAATATTATAAATATAATATTAAACATTAGATTAATTTTTATTTAAAAAATACAATCTTCAATATTAGTTATACTAAATAATAATTGAAATGAAAAATTTTTTTATAGAAAAGTACATTAAAATTAAGAAATTGTTGTTTAGTATTCTAACGCAAACAAAATATAAATTGAAATAAAAAACTAAAAAACATTTTAAATTTATTTTATTTTAAATACGAAAAAAAAATTTTATTACAATATTAAAAAAAATTTATTACAATATTAAACCTTATTATTAAAAAACATTTTTTATTTATTGCACAAAAAGTTATCAAACAACAAACATACACACATATTTTACATTTTTTTTTTGAAATATATATTTAATTACATTTAAAATAAGCACATATACAAACCTGGTAATAAATGCCTTAAGTATCCTGGATCTAGTGTAGGTGCAACATCACGTTGTTCTATATTTTTGGTATAATCACATATATAATCGATCATATCTTTGCCATATTTTCTAAACTCCTCTGTATTCATTTTTTTTATTTATTTTTATAAACAATAATAATATTGACAATTTTTAAAAATTTATTTTTTTTTGATATAAAATTTTGTTTATATTTTATAATTTTATTTTTCACAAAAAATTTTAGTTTATTTCAATTGTAAAATCCTTAAAAAATCACACACACACACAAAAGCTTCTTTAATTTTTATATCCGTTCATGTATTTATCTTAATTTTCTATTTCGTGTAATCCGTTTAAGTTCCGTCAGAAATATTAACTTATTTAAGGTATATATATATCATATATTCACATTGGTAAAATCTTAAAGCGACTGACTTAAACAGCCTCGAACTATTTGTCTTTATATCAAAGTTGCGCACGTTCGTTCACTGTGTAAAACAATGTCTTTAGTTTTTTTTTACACAGATTTACTCTCACGAGAATTATAGACTACTTTTTGAATTCTCCGTCATTAAATATGTGCAAAAACTTGGGCTACGTAACACCTGTCTTCGGCTTTTAATAACTTTAAATAGCGCGCGCGTGATTTTTTTCACTGTTTTTCTCTCTCTCTGTCTCTCTTTCTCTGTTTGACTGTAACTACTGACTGATGTTTTTTGTTGTTTTTTTTTTTTTTGCAATTGAATATTGGAATCCCCACGATCGGCTCTCGGGCATGGTTAATTTCACACAATAGAAAGACACAGATATACAGCAGTAACATATAAGCCATATAAACGGAGTAGTATGAATGGAAAAACCATCAATGAAATGTTCGATTTCATATAGGAGTAATGGAATATTTTTATGATTAGTGTACGTGAAAAGTAGAATGCAAATCTTTGCAAATCTTTGCGGGGGTGTGAACAACGAAATATCTGAATAATTGAAAACAGGTCAGTTTTTTTAATACAGCCATTTCTCGTTTGTACTTATCTAACAAACCGTAAGTGATGTGTTCTTTTCAAAAGTTAACAAATGGAACCTCATAAAGTTTTGATTAATAAATTATTTTGATTTTAGATTAAATCTGTTTTAGAATATCAGTAATAAATAAAAAAGTAAATAATAGCAATATAAATAAACATTTTTATTAGAGAGCCGATGCTTATTAGTTTCAATTTACAAATCATTTGTGCTCTGAAGTGTAAAAATAATAAAAAATTGAATATTAAATATTTATATCAATATTTTGTTACTGCAGTAGTTAACTGAAATATTCACAAATTGTTACTATGCTAACTAAATATGAAAAAATTTTTTTAATAAAAAATAACTTTAATGAATTTAATTAACTTATTAAACAATCAATTAATATGATATAATAATTTTTTTGGTTTTATTGTGATCGCGTGCTGTAAGTTACTTTTGCTTAATAACTACCTTACGCTCTATGCGATGAGGTATGTTAAATTTTTCCACGATTAGTTTTATTTAAGTGTACAACTGATAACACATTTTAAAAAGAATATCTCAAAAAAAGGTGTATATATATAAAATGTAATAATATCATTCGTATATTCCGACCCAAGCCTCAAGAGAGACTCAAGTCGCATCCAAATCCTCATGTTCGACACTTATTATCTGCAACTGCACTAAATCGCTTTAAAAGCAAATCATTGATAAATATGAATACCCTAGCTCAATAGCATATTTGTTAGTTTTTTAAGATTTGCAAAATTATTGTCATTTTCTACTTAGAAAGATTTAATAAATAAACCAATTAAAGAAATCAGAAATAAAAAAAAAAATTTGTAAATTGCAATTTATCTGCTCCTGAACTCATATATTTTTAGCATATACATATGTTAATAGCTCTGTCTCGGAATGTTTCCTGATGAAATCAATTTCTGCATTGATAGGCTAGTGACTGCAATAACTAGTCTGTCATGTAACTTCATATTTATCAAATTGTTGTGCTATTTAATGCCCATTCTCAGATATTCTACAATTTGGTATTTTTTTGATTGATATATATAATATTATATTATGGATATAACATTTTATAAATTTTATATAATTATAATATATTTCGGGCATCGCTTATGTTTAGAGTACAAAGTCTTATTATACAACTAAGTCATGAAGCCAATCCGAATGTATGGCTCACAGCTATATGGCAATACCTGTTCGTCAAACGTAGTAATCCTGCAAAGCGCTCAAGCACAGATTCTAAGAATGATAACGGATGCACCCTGGTATATCAGGAATGAAAACATACATTGCGATTTAAGAGTTCCAATGGTTAAAGTCGAGTTTGAGAGAATAAGGCAGAAACATATTTCAAATCTTGAAAATCATGTGAATCCGCTGACTTGAATTCTGGCTAATATGACAACGTTCTCTAGACTGCAGCGGAATGATAGACACGCCATCCTGCTTTCCTAAAAATAAACCTGATTAATGGGTCGGCTTAATCTTGTCATATCGAAATACAACACCTTTTCTCTTGTTGATTGATTATTAGTAATTTTTTGTGGTTTGTAAAAGAAACTGTTTTTGAGACTTTGATATTTTTAAATTTGATAATTATTTCTGGATAACATGAAAATGCATGATTCCTTCCATACGATTTTTTTTATTTATGCTTTTTTGTGCTTTTTAGAATATTTACATTAAGGATTTTATTTGGCTTAAATGGTCACATCTGTTATTTGTACTTTTATAAAGTAAAATATTAAGAAAATTAATTAATTTCTCTTTAAATAAAAAATAAAGCACTTAATTAAATACAACATATTGTATAAATGTAATTACTATGAATTTCTTAGTTAAGATTTTCCATATAATTTCTATTGCTATCTTGATTCATCTTAATAATAGATATTGAATTTTTTTCCAATTTATTCTTAAGAAAATTAATCAATTTCTTTCTAAATAATAAATAAAGTACTTCGTTATTTACTATTACTTTTTTTTACTATTAGTTATTTGAATACGATTTTCCATTTAATTTATAATAAAATTGTTATATTGATTCATCTTGAAAATAGATATTCGAGATATCATAAATTAAAATACAAAATATTGAATTCATTTTTACTCCTATTTATTTTCAGGAAAATTAATCAATTTCTCTTTAAATAATAAATTAAAGACTTCGTTAAATGCAACATATTGTGTAGATATTATGTATCACAATTAATTTTTTAGAAAAAATTTTCCATATAATTTATATGATTTTATTGAAAAATTTACTTATAATTTCATCACTTGTTTTAAAAAACTGAATAATTAAATAGAAATATAAAAAATACCCTCCGAATATTGCATGCTGTAATATTTTCCTGATCTTACATGTGGGAGTTTTTTATTATTTTTTTTATTTTTTGCTTTTATTTATACAAGCTTTATCAAGTTTATCTCGTGTGACTTTGGTTTATTTAAAGTCACGCTTAATAGCAAATAATTTATTTAAATTACAGTTTTAATTCAATTTCAAAATGATAGATTAGCTCTCAGCATTTTTTCGATTACTTTATAATTAATTAAAATTTATTACTATTTTGACTGAAATGTGTTTTATGTTTTTGAAACGTTGAGTAAGTCAATAATGAATATTTATGAATCTACCAATAAAAACTAATATTATAAATTATCTTTCTATGTTATGTTTTTATATAGTATAATTTTTTTATAAAAATATCTGTGGTAATTTTGTGGTAATTCTGTCTTGTTTGTAACATAAACCCATTTATAAATTAATTTTTTTATAATATAAATTTATTTTAATTATTCATATTTTAAACTTTGTAAGCTGAAAACAATATTTTATTTTGTATATATCTTTATAAACTATTTTTTTTAATTATCACAAACAAAGGTTGCATTTTTTTTCATCACACTAATATAAAGCAATTACTAAGGCAGTAAGAGTAGCTAGCACTATTGGAATTAGTTCTAACATATTTCTGCTAACGAAAATATTTTTTCGTAACTTCTTGAGATTTTTGAAGTTTATTTGAGTATTTTTTTTTTCTAAATTAACTCTAATTAATTATTTTAGTAATGCTTTCATTTCATGCTGCAGAGTAATAATCCAATAATTATTTTTTTATATGAATTACATGGATTATTACATGGGTTATGCAAACCTATAATCCAGGTTTACATAAAGGTGATTTTTATTTTGTCTTTATGATATTATTTTTTAACTTACCTTTTTTTTATATTTTCCTGCGTTTTAGTGCTTTTAACTAGCACTTTTGCTCGCTTCTATAGATCTCGGCATATACAACATATGTATACATACTGTATGTAAGCTAATTTAAGCATTAATAGCTAAAATGAATAAAAGTTTAACACAATTTTTCACGACATAGCGTTTGATAATAATTCATTTTTATATAGTAATTAATTTACGCTTTCTGTATATAATTAATTTTTGTTACATTAATTTGATGTTATTGCAGTAATTCAAAAAAATGTTGTAATTTTTATTTTTAGTAATTTCTCAAAAATTTTTGTCATATTAAAAATATTTATTTATGTATTTAAAGAAATATAATTTTACATTTAATTTTCTATTTGGATTTTCTAAGAAATGTAAATAATTTCATTAAGCCATTGTTATCGAACGTGTATAAACTCAAAATGAGTTAATAATATTGGGTGTAAATATTTTAATGTCGTGATTTAAATAACTTACTTATCATATATTAGAAATAAAAATTAACTTATCACAATGTAAATGAATCAGCATTGGTTATTCTAGACATCAGTTCTATGAATAAATTGCCAAAAATTGATTATTTAAACAATTACTCCGATTGATACTGTCATATATATGTCATCACTCAAATTTATTTTTCAATTAAATAGAATATACGACAATATGGTTAACTAACTTAACAAATAATTAAATCATTAAAATTTAAAATAAATATTTATTTGCAAAGTACACTATATGATTGATATTAAAAATTTTTTTGTTTAAAATAGTCGTTTCGCAATATAATTTGTAAAGTAAAAATAATAATTTATTTAATGAACCAACATTTACTATTATATTAATGTATTTTTTATAAAAAAGTAATACGTTAAGTATGAGATAGAATTATCTATAACTGC